TAAACCGCCACACCCTCACACGCTCACACCCACACACACGCCCACCCACACACCCTGACACCCACACACCCTCCCACACGCACACCATCATACCCTCACCCCTCGCACGCTCACACCCACACATCCACACGCCATCACACCTTAACACCCTGACACCATCACACCCTGACACCATCACACCAACACACCTTCCCACCCACACACCCTCACCCCTTCACACCCTCACACCCACACACATCACACCAGAACACCCTGACACCTTTACAGTATCTCACCCTCACACCCACCACAACCTCCCACCCTGACACCCACACACCCTCATTCCCTCGCCCCCTCACACCCTCACACACACAAACACCATCACACCAGAACACCCTGACACCTTCACACCATCTCACCATCACACCCTCTCACCCTCACACCCACCACAACCTCCCACCATGACACCCTGCCACCCACACACCCTAACATCCCCTCACCCCCTCACACTCGCCACACCCTCACACAGAACTTATAAATAGAATGTCTCCAATAATCTAAAAAAACTATCCATTACGATCAGAGGTCTTAAAATGTATTTAAAGAAAGACCGTTCACACCATGGTAAGAAGAGGGAAATTTGAGATGTTTGAAACGTTAGAGGTGGTGAAGGGATGTCCCAATGTGTCAATACCAAAGTTATGATTTGGAGTTCAAAGGTCGGCCAGACACTGACAGGACAGAAGACAACACCAGCTCCCCGTGTTGATGGTTGAGGCGAATGGACATGCGCACTAAATGATATGAAACTTGTTATTTAATCTTTTAATCTTGTCTTTAAATAAGACACACTAGAAAGCTACATTGTCTTTATGTAAGACACGATATAAAACTACATTGTCTATATGTAAGACACGATATAAAGCTACATTGTCTTTATGTAAGACACGATATAAAGCTACATTTTCATAAAGTCTGGCATCACGTTTTGATATGTGCGGATCATAATAATAATAATAATAAAGTTCATTTCAAAAACACGCTTCATCCCCAAAGGCTCGAAGCGCGGTACAAAGTCAACAAAATACAAATCTATAATTTACCACATTAAACACAAACGAAACACTACAAAACATGAACAACAACATCAAAAGCAACAACAACATAAAAAACAACAACATCATCATCATCATCATCAAAAACAACATCAAAAACTACAACAAGATAAAAAAAACAACAACAACATCAACAACAACAACATCATCAAGAACAACAACACAATCAGCATAAAAAACAACAACATCAAAATCAACAACAACATAAAAAACAACAGCAACATCAACATCAACAACAACAACATCAAAAACAACATCAAAAACAACAACAGCAACATCAAAAACAACAACATCATCATCAACATCATTATCAACATCATCATCAACAACATCAACAACAACATCAAAAACAACAACAGCAACATCAAAAACAACAACATCATCATCAACATCATCATCAACATCATCATCAACAACATCAACAACAACATCAAAAACAACAACAGCAACATCAAAAACAACAACAACATCACCATCAACATCATCATCAACAACATCAACAACAACATCAAAAACAACAACAGCAACATCAAAAACAACAACATCATCATCAACATCATCATCAACATCATCATCAACAGCATCATCAACAACATCAACAACAACATCAAAAACAACAACAGCAACATCAAAAACAACAACAACATCACCATCAACATCATCATCAACAACATCAACAACAACATCAAAAACAACAACTGCAACATCAAAAACAACAACATCATCATCAACATCATCATCAACATCATCATCAACAACATCAACAACAACATCAAAAACAACAACAGCAACATCAAAAACAACAACATCATCATCAACATCATCATCAACATCATCATCAACAACATCAACAACAACATCAAAAACAACAACAGCAACATCAAAAACAACAACATCATCATCAACATCATCATCAACATCATCATCAACAACATCAAAAACAACAACATCATCATCAACATCATCATCAACATCATCATCAACAACATCTACAACAACATCAAAAACAACAACAGCAACATCAAAAACAACAACAACATCATCATCAACATCATCATCAACAACATGAACAACAACATCAAAAACAACAACAGCAACATCAAAAACAACAACAACATCATCATAAACATCATCATCAACATCATCAACATCATCATCAACAACATCAACAACAACATCAAAAACAACAACAGCAAGTTTAAAAAACAACAACAACATCACCATCAACATCATCATCAACAACATCAACAACAACATCAAAAACAACAACAGCAACATCAAAAACAACAACAACATCGTCATCAACAACAACAATTTAAATAAAAAAAGGTTTTGTTAACAAAACGATAAAGCGGTTCTACTCTTTTGGTATCTTCCGGAGACATCAACCTAAAAAAACCAAACAAACAAACAAAACTACCGCACCCAGTTGACAACTGCTCTTTATGAGAGCACCACGATGAGCACTCGGAGCAGTCATGTCGACGTGTCAGACAGTCTCAAGACTCTCGGATGACATCACAGAAGTAATCTCCACTCGTCAGTGCGCCAAGAGGGATGGCAGCCGTTGCTCATATGAACACGAGACATGGGCACGCATAGATTTTTTTGTTCAAGCCTGTAAAAAAAAAAGCTAATTCGTGTAACGGTTGCAACGCAGTAAAGGGAAATACGTCATCTGACGCGTCGCTATGAACTTTGACACTTGACCCTATGGCTGTTCGGAGAGGTTCATTTACTTATCCCTAAACCGGCGCACTCAATAACCCCACTTAAACTAACGGGGTGTTTAATAACTTACAACCACTGTGTTTAACGCTAAGCCTCCTTTAAAGAGAAACACAATGAGCAAAAACATGATTTAGACGAAAAGCACATTATATCTCTTATCTCTTACATCTCTTATATCTCTCTTATCGCTTATGTATTGAATAGCTCTTGAATTCCTCATCACTAAAATCGATCCCCCAACCAACCTCTATTCCAAAAAAAAAAAATAAAAAAATAAAAAATAAAAAATAATAATACAAAAAGCAAACACTTAAAAAAATAATAAAATCAGCCAAACAGCCATAAAGCAAAAACACAAACGCAAAACGACAACCAAAAATGACAATCACAGCTAAGACAGTTGATGGGAAGTTCATGCATTGCTCCAAAAAATGAAATCTATAAAATGGTTACGGCTTTGAGGATTTGATGCCGAAACTATGACTTAACAATGAATTGTTGGTTCCATAAACCTATACCGAAATTTGAAGTCTTCATCACACGTAGCTGGAGGTGTAGATCTTCTGGGCCGAGTAGCTGGAGGTTTAGATCTCCTGGGCCGAGTAGCTGGAGGTGTAGATCTCCTGGGCCGAGTAGCTGGAGGTGTAGATCTTCTGGGCCGAGTAACTGGAGGTGTAGATCTTCTGGGCCGAGTAGATGGAGGTGTAGATCTTCTGGGCCGAGTAGCTGGAGGTGTAGATATGCTGGGCCGAGTAGCTGGAGGTTTAGATCTGCTGGGCCAAGTAGCCGGAGGTGTAGATCTGCTGGGCCGAGTAGCTGGAGGTGTAGATCTGCTGGGCCGAGTAGCTGGAGGTGTAGATCTGCTGGGCCGAGTAGCTGGAGGTGTAGATCTCCTGGGCCGAGTAGCTGGAGGTGTAGATCTCCTGGACCGAGTAGCTGGAGGTGTAGATCTGCTGGGCCGAGTAGCTGGAGGTGTAGATCTGCTGGGCCGAGTAGCTGGAGGTGTAGATCTTCTGGGCCGAGTAGCTGGACGTGTAGATCTTCTGGGCCGAGTAGCTGGAGGTGTAGATCTTCTGGGCCGAGTAGCTGGACGTGTAGATCTTCTGGACCGAGTAGCTGGAGGTGTAGATCTTCTGGGCCGAGTAGATGGAGGTGTAGATCTTCTGGGCCGAGTAGCTGGAGGTTTAGATCTGCTGGGCCGAGTAGCTGGAGGTGTAGATCTGCTGGGCCGAGTAGCTGGAGGTGTAGATCTGCTGGGCCATGTCAAATGAAAACACCCTGTTCATGAACTATGTTTTACATCCAACAATGCCACAGACAAAAACTTTCAAGACTGAAAACAATATACCAAAACTAATTTCGTTTGATTTGCGGCAGTAAAATTGTCTTCTTATCTTTTCTTATTTATATATTAAATAGCGGGACATCATTAATTATGTTTATTTGACTTAAAACAACATTTTTTAATTCTCTATCTATTCCCCCCCCCCCCAAATCATTTCAATTTTTCTAGAAGAAATGTTCATATAATAAACAGTTCTTGTATGTGCAGATCATTTGAGTTTTGGATAAAATATCGAAGGATAAATTTTGACCTCCTGCCCTCATAGGTACCTTTTGTTTGTGAACATTTTATCAAGAGCTGTTTCTCATTAACGGAAGTTAAACGAAGAAAAATGGAGCCCATTAAGTTCATTTGAATGATTTTAATAACAGTTACGAAATATGAACAAGCCGCTAATTAATGGACCTACTTTAACGAACATTACTTAAAGAATGAGTTAAAATAGTAAAATGAGCAGTAACGAACAATTTGTTTTCTTTTGAAAAGATATATTGAAGTATGGAGTCCGTAATTTCCATTCTATTTTTTATAGATGTTCTGTCATCTACCAGATACCTTGTTACCCCATACTTTTTCGGCCCCTCCACCCGCAACACCACACCGCCCCTTTCAATTTCACCTCACACTTGAAGATGCTGTGTCTCAACTTTAATCTATTCAAGAGCTCCTCAGTTTTTTTTTTTTGGGAAGACGTTATTTACTCGAGTAAAATCGAAGTTGAGAGTTACTTCAGGTGACTAGGCATCAAGTGAAGGCCCCCGTGAGACAAGTTGACCCAGTACTCCAGGTCAGAGAATCCTATAAAAGGCTGAGACATTGGCACAAAGCGTAACCATCTTCTCCCCTGGAACCTACAGGGTAAGTTCGTCAGCTGTGACCGTGTCTTTGTGGAAAATTGTGGGGCTTAGAATCTGTGAACAAATCTTTGTAGCAAATTATAATTTGAATTGATAAAGGACTGTATATGGGCTTATGTAAATAACTTTGACTTCTTCAAAATAATTGTTTAGAATTATGATAAAAGAAGTTATTAATAAAACAGCTGTAAGTTATGTTACGTACAGGTAGTTTCTGAATTCAACAGTTTTCTAATGGCATAACTAAATACGCCGTACTTATAAAATTACAGTTAGATTATATAAGGACTAAAACTATTTTATTACGTAATCCTTCAAAAAGCAGCATAAGCATTTACAAAAAAAACAAAAAAACAACAAAAAAAAAACAACAACAAAATTTAATATCAGGTATATACACATTTTATGACTTTGATAACATCATGAATTTAAATATTAAAATAAAGAACTAAAATATTTATCAGATCTATTAAATTTAAGAATATGTTTGTTTAAAAAAAGAAAAAAAAACAACAACGATAAAGAATATTTATTCTAAGCCATTTAAGACAAAATCGTAAGTCAAGGAAGAGCTTGTAGGTTCATTAAAGGTCTTAAAATAATCATTGATTAAGCGACATCAGAGAACTTGGTTTTTAATTTCGGTATCATTAAGACATAGGGGGAAAAATAATACCGAGAGCTAAACTAAGATTTCAAAATAGGTTTAAATTTGTCAACTATTATGTTTGTAATTAGATTGCAAGCAATCTGAAACATCGTTGTATATAACTAATTATTGAAATATAAGTGCACCCTGTTGGAGTTAAGTTTTCAATACGATCTCTATATATGATTTAAACAACAAATGGTTACATATTTTTGGGTCAGTGGGTAAATTTATAGTAAGCAACTAAAAAGGAATACATTTTACAATTTCACCGGAAAGGAAGTTTTGTAAAAAACAACAACTCCCAAAGTCAATTTAAATATAGATAGAATTAAATAAAAAATGAGCATTGAGAATTTTTTGGTTAAATGCTTGTCAGAAAATAATGAACATTTTAAAATGATCTGAACAATAAAAAAGAGAATTTAATCGGTTATAAATTACGTCATAGAACAAATGGAAGACCTTTTTAAAAAAAAAAACAAACCAACAACAACTTGAACCCAGGGGTGGGTAAACTTTGTGTACGTAGGGCCACATTGACAAATGAAAAGCTATTGGAGGGCCGCCTATGTATTTTGCCATATTTGCATTACATTACGAACTTCAATGACTGTTTAAAAAAATAGAAAATTGGAAATACATTTTGTAAAAAAATGGTAAAATAATCATAACGGTTCATGAAGTTCTGTAACATTCAATAAGATAATTTAAAAACAAGATTTTTTTTTGTAACATCGATTGCCGGGGCGCATGTGGCCCGCGGGCCGTAGTTTGCCCACCCCTGCTTTAATCCATTCTAGTATTTAAGAGCTGTGATAAATTATTATTTTTTTTTTGTTTCCTTACCATAAAAAAAAGATAATTATTAATGGCTTAAATCTTAATTCAAGACAATATCAAACTCAGCGTGAAATTAATTTAATCTGAAACCAGTTTCTTCCAACGTCTTTAGATAACGATTAAATAACACGATCTTCGACTAAATGTTTTTCCTGTGTTCCATGTAAATCTATTCTGACGTTTCCCCATTGAAAGTCTACTCAAATTTAAAAGAAAAGATGATTGTAAAGAAAAATAAAATAAAGATTGTTGGCACCAATTTTACAGTACATTAAAAACGAGTTTTGTCCAGCAGATGGCGCCTCAAGGTAACCTCGTCATAGCGTCTCTCATCGTGGTCATGTCAGTGGTCAGTGGCAAGCCCTTCGCATCGTCCGATCAAGATAATTATGGCAAGGACCTGAAGGTAAGTGTTAAGAACCCGAGAGTTGTCTTTTCTTAAGTTGAAATGGGTTACTGTTCTTTCATTAAAAAACAAAAAAATATGGGTTGTGAACACGCTTCCAATTGGGAAAATATCCTAGCACCCCTTGATGATCCTACCACCCCTTGATGATCCTACCACCCCTTGATGATCCTACCACCCCTTGATGATCCTACCACCCCTTGATGATCCCACCACCCCTTGAAGATTAGCTTAAATATTCATGATCTTTGTGATATGTTTGTAATTATTATCATTTAAATTATAAATTTTACTTTTTTTCATATAAGGTATTTGCGATAACTGTAAAAAATCAAACTTGTTATCACTCAGTCTAAATGTCTTTCTCCACATCTCTAGAGTACATGGACGGTTGCGTTCGTCTTAGGACCAAGTACACCTTAATTTTAAGATTTTTGATCTTATTCCTTATTTACGGGCTGGTAGACCATACTTAAATACCCCCCCCCCCCATTTTTGTTAAATAAAAAACTTTTTCACCCCATGCAAAAAAAATCTACACACATACACACGCAAACACACATATACACACAGAGACAAACACAGACAGAGTCGGTTAACTAATCTAACGTGTTTATGTCGTTTCAGTCAAACTATCTAAACCAATGGACCGGGTGGGGTGAGCAGAGGCCCGTTGATAATGGCTGGGGTGTAAAGCCCGTTGACTATGGCTGGGGTGACAAGAGGCCCGTTGACAATGGTTGGGGTGTAAGGCCCGTTGACTATGGCTGGGGTGAGAAGAGGCCCGTTGAAAACTGGAACGGCTGGGGTGAGAAGAAGACTGATGAAAACTGGAATGCTAAAGGAGAGCAGAACACAGTTGAAAACTGGAATGGCTGGGGTGAGAAAAAACCCGTTGACAATGGCTGGGGTGAGAAGAAACCTGTTGAAAATTGGAACGGATGGGGTGAGAAGAAGACAGATCAAAACTGGAATGGCTGGGGAGAGAAAAACACTGTTGAAAACTGGAATGGCTGGGGCGAGAAAAAACCCGTTGACAATGGCTGGGGAGATAAGCAACGCGTCGATTATGGCTGGGGTGAAAAGACGCCAGTTGGCTATGGATGGGGTGAGAAGACTCCCATTGACAACTGGAATGGCTGGGGCGAGAAGAACCCTATTGTAGACTTCGGAAACCTGTGGTCCGGCTGGGGTGACAAACCAGACAGCAAATTCGACCTGATCGATGATGAGAAAGAGAGACACGTTGCTGTTTTCATTCAAATCATGAAGTCCCTCATCAACAGAGAGGAAGAGGATACCAGATCATTCTTGGAGCTTTTCAAACAATTTACCAGGGTAATATTTAATCATTTAATGGAGCAAATATCAGATTTTTCATCAATTTATTTTATATAGCGATTTGATCTCAAAGATTAGGTATTTTTTTATATTTATTTTAATGGATGAAGTTAACAAATTGTCACGAAAAGCAATATCGGAATTTTAGAACGTATTTAAAAATAAAAGATGGATGTATTATTTCAACCATATACATTTATGTAGTAAGAAAATTTGAATGGCTGTTTAAAGGTTACTTGGAAGAAAGAGTCCACCAAGGGGTACTCCAGAGAGGAACTGTCCAAGACACAGGTGGCCACCTACGAGAAGATCTCCTACAATGATGAAAGGGAGTGGCTGGACCTCTGTGATGGCGACGAACCCGACAACGAGTTCCGTTACAAGAAACTCTTCTTGCTGTACGTTAAGTTCAGGTCACACTACCAGGCCCAGAAGCAGTTCGTCGGCGCCAAGGAGTATCAGACAGAGGTCAGTACGCAATTCGCGAAGCTTGAGGGGGGGGGGGTTCCCGCAGGCCAGGGCCCTACATGGGCTGTAGTGTCACTGATGATGATGATGATGGGGGGTTCTCGAACAGTGGTATGAACGTGTTAATGATAGAATGATTCAAGCACTATATAAATATTAAAAAAAAAAAAGAAAATGCTTTTGAATAAGTCTCACATATTTATATGAGGATACGAATTAAAGAAGTAAAATAAGTAAAATCTGACAGCAGAACTCTTGTAAGGTATGCAAAAGAAACACATGCTGGAAATTCTGCTCAAAACAATAGAAATGGGTCGAAGAGTAACTTTTTAAGAGGAAGATTTAAACTAATTCTATCACTTGAATGCAGAGGTATATCAAGAAAAAGAGCCGTGGAGCTGTATGCCCAACCACCCCCTTTTAAATTAGATATTTTAAATACATGTCGTCATGCCATATATTATAATGTCATTTTGTAATGTAAGTATTATAATGTAACAATTTTTAACTGCCGTTCCAGGCAAAACAAAAAATTAAAATGCAATGTCGTCATTATATAAATTGTAATGTAAGATTATATTTTTTAGTGTAATGTAAGATTATACCATATACATTAACGTAGGATTGCACTATATATTGTAATGTAAGAGTATATTATTTCAGAGCTTGAAGGCCAGCAAGCAGTACATCCTGTACTCCCAACTTGTCACCTTCGCCAAGCAGGTGCAGCACGAAAAAACCGTTGTGATATCATTCTCTCAAGTTGTCGAGGTAAGGACACATGCAAATGTATGTAGGGGATTTATTATTAGAACTAAAACGTGCAGCCTTAAAGAAAATATGTAAAAACAATAAAAATGTTCCTTTAAAAATCAAGAATAATAGCGTAGTTTAAGTACATATTGAAATAAATATTCATCAACAATTTCGCCTTACCAATAATTTAACCGGACAAGATAGCTAATGAAAGCCATGTGCGATAAACAGCTTCATAATTTGTTTGTGTACAGACCAAATACAAGACTCACTACAGCTACTTCAAGCAGTGCGCGTTCTACAGCCAGTGCAACAGATGGACTGACTTCGATTTTGATGGAAAATCTGGGTTTGATTTCGGCGCCCAATTTGGAAACGGTAAAAGAAAACGTTTCTCTGTTAGTTTTCTTATTTCAAACAATCTGTGACAAAATTCTTGCAAGGAATTCTTCAAGTAGCACTGAAAACGCTCCTAAATTTCTATAACTGATATTGATTTTTTTTAAAAAGTAGACAAAATTGAAGATTTTTAAAACAAAGTCACTATTACAGTAGAAGGTTAGTGAACAAGCGTAGGCAGTTGTTAATCTTATCTGATTATTATATACTATAGAAAGTAAGGTTTAGACAATCCGATATGTCACAATAATTGTTTAACCCTGGCACCAGTCTTAAGAATTTTAGAAAAAACTTGACAACCTTATTTATACCCTTTGTTCTAAAACAAAAAAATTCTTGTAACTTGTACAGCCATTGGAGACAACTACGACAGAGACGCCAGGCACTTTGAGCTCTTCCTGAAGCTCCAGAAGTTCATCAAGCTTGTCTCCGAGAAAACATACGACGACGACGACACTTTCAGAACTTTCCACAGCCTAGGCTGGGACGACGAGCGCGACGACTACGACTGGAGGGGCGAGCACCCCGTGTACGGCTACCTGTCGGGCCTCAGAAAACACCTGGACGAACACAAGCCAAACGACTTCAAGAAATTCTTCGACGACAAAGAGGAGGCCGACAACAAGAACTTGTTCTTTTCGCTTAAGGTAATCAAACTGTAGATTTTAACTCTTACGTGATATGTATATTAAAAACAACACTATCAACTACTTATAGTTTTCAAAAGAACTTAAGTTATAAAGTGTTTTTTTTTTGTTCAGCCTTGCAATGGATTTAAGATAATATTTTTAAACATTAAGTAATTACATTTAATAAAATTACTACGTTTTTGGTGAAAATTCGATTGGGCTTTTTATTTTTTTATATCTAACTCTCCAGGGATACAAACTACTGCAAGAACAAAAAGAACTCCTAGAGAAGCGAACCCAGATTGAGCAGGTTTTCGTCAAGTTCTCTAAATTTTTGCAGTACCAGGAGGAGGTTGAGAACTGCAAGCAGGAGTTCTCCAAGTTTAAAGAATGGCAGAAGGCCAAGGAAAAGTAAATCTTGAAAAACTACGAGAACCTTTGGAAAACAACTTCATTATATATATAAAAAAAAAATATTATTGGGATGTTTGAAAAATTCTCAATTTTATCGTTGCTTTTTTTGTGGACATGATTTTTCTGAATTTTAAAGATGTTTTGAAATAATCTAAAGCGATCTAATTATTACGGTTAAATAAAGAACTCGCTTAAATTTTTGTTTCCAGCAAAGTGAGAACCGATGAGTTCTTCTCCTTCCTGAAGCAAGTCTCCGTCTTGAAGGGCTTCTTCACGTCAAAGACCTACTACGGCAAGGACGGCCACGATAAGATCTACAACAAGGGAGTCGGAGAGTTTTACTACGGCTACGACAAGTCGGTCCGCCTCTCCTACGACGGCAAGGACAACCGCGGGTTCAACAAGTTCGTAGGCGGCAACGATTTCGGTAGAAAGGATTTTGGCGGTGTCTACAAGGGCTTCCCCCTGCAACATTACGGACCACAGGTGGGTCATCTGTTTTTTAACCAATCTTCCACCAAAAGTGGACGTGTTGATACTCGATCTCTATTTAAAGATACATAAATAACCTCCCCTGTTATATCGTACTTCTTCTTCTTCTTCTTTCTTCTTTATTTTGAGGGCCCACCAATCATAAATTGTATTTATTAAAAATATTTTTTGTCAAAAAGTATAAAAGTAGTATCGATTTTTAAAAATCCGATTTCAAAATAGAAATTTATAATTATTTAACGATGTTAATTTAATTTTTGAAAAGAACTTAAAATCGCTCTATACTTGATTTACTCAAATTATAATTTCCTTAATAATAAAATAAAAAGCTAAAAAAATTGTATTTCATTAAGATGCGTAAAATTTTTCACATGTCTTTTGTAGGGCTATGATTACCAAAGAGAAGACTTCTACAAAAACCAATTGGCACAGGCAGGCTACTCTAAAGAGAAACTCAACTTCGATGGCCGTCATTAGGTAAGTTGTCGTTCTTGGATGAAATGACGTTTTTTTCTTTCCGTTGAAATGCATGTTCCTCTTCTGTACTGTTGTGGCTAGACACAAGAACATATGGTCCACTCATAATGTGTCCCCACTTTCAGTTTTTGAAGAAAGAGGGTTGGGGGGGGGTCAAAACCAAAACTTGTAGGCTTGTTATGTTGTTTATTACTCAATGCGTCACAGTGCATAGCAAGCAATTAAATAAAAACTGCAAATTCATGTGGGGAAGGACAAAAGCCCGACCCTGCCCTACCCAAATGATGTCCCTGGTGTTTTTTCATGATACTGGTTTGATCTGGGACGTTTCTTCGTAAGTTGAAGAGCTTATCTTAGTGTCAGTTTTAAGACAGTTTTTTTTTATAAGTTGTTTCATCATAAGTGGGTAGTTGCGTCAGCGTCACACTATGCTTATTTCATTTCTTTCTGTGCTTCTTTCTGATTGGTTGGTAACGGAGGACAAATTGATCTGATTGGTTGGTAACAGAGGACGATTTCTTTTTCATTGCACTAAATCGTTTTATTTTAAACTCATCGAGCTAAAGCCCTTCCAACAAAATTAATTGACATTTTTAATTTGTAAGAGTAGAACTTCTTCTAGGAATGGAGTTTTATTTTAACAAAGTTGCTTCAGCATTTTTATGAGTGGGTGATTAATTATAGCTTATAAATTATATATTATAATTTATATGTTATAAATTATGTTATAAATTATATTTTATAAATTATATGTTATAAGTTAAATATTATAAATTATATGGTATAACTTAAATGTAATAAAATATATATTTTAGAATTAATTTTTAATAAATTATATTTTGTATAAATTCTAAATCATTTTATCAATTATATGATAAAAATTATATGTTATAGACTATATTTTTGGGTTGTCGTCTAATGAAATACTATTGTTTCTATTTGACAGGTTTATAAATTGATGTCGTAGAAGGTCAAGATTGTGGAAATGTTACATAATAATATAGTTTCAACATTTGTCTGAACTGTACAATTGAAAGAAAGATCGTGCAGCACATTTCAATGGTGTTGAAAACTTCGAATAAATAAACAGATGTAATAGAATCAATTTAAAAAAAGTGTATTTTGTTATAATTTATGTGTGTAAAAATTTTCATGAACTAGTTGCTTATCTAGTTTTCACCTCAACTAAAATAGTTGTAACCAGGTATCCCGTAACAATAAGACTTTCTGATAAAATAAGTTACTTACAACATTTTGGTAACATTTTTGATGTACCAAATTGCTTCCAACATTTTGGTAAAATTTCTAATAGACCCAATTACTTACAATTTTTTGGTAAAATTATAATGGACCTAATTACTTACAACATTTTGGTAAAATTTCTAATAGACTAACTACTTACAAAATTTTGGAAAATTTTAGAATAGACCAAATTACTTACAACATTTTGGAAAAATTTCGAATAGACCAAATTAATTAGAACATTTTGGTAAAATTTCGAACGGACCCAATTACTTACAACATTTTGGTAAAAATTCTAATGGACCAAATTATTTACAACATTTTGGTAAAATTTCTAATAGACCTAATAACTTACAACATTTTGGAAAAATTTCGAATAGACCAAATTAATTACAACATTTTGATAAAATTTCTAATGACTCAATTACTTACAACATTTTGGTAAAATTTCTAATAGACCGAATTACTTACAACATTTTGGTAAAATTTCTAATATACCTAATAACTTACAACATTTTGGAAAAATTTCGAATAGACCAAATTAATTACAACATTTTGGTAAAATTTCTAATGACTCAATTGCTTACAACATTTTGGTAAAATTTCTAATAGACCGAATTACTTACAACATTTTGGTAAAATTTCGAATAGACCCAATTACTTACATCATTTTGGTAACATTTCTAATGGACCCAATTACTTACAACATTTTGGTAAAATTTCGAATAGACCCAATTACTTACATCATTTTGGTAACATTTCTAATGGACCCAATTACTTACAACATTTTGGTAAAATTTCGAATAGACAGCATTACTTACAACATTTTGGTAAGATTTTTGTACAAGAAAATCACTCTCAATGTTTCGTTAACATTCTATGCCATGAAAATAGGAACAGATTGATTGGAATATTTTTAAAAGTAAAATAAAATTTTCAAGATCTATAACAAAAAAAAAATAAAAAAAATAAATAAAAGTAACATTTAAATAGTTAATCAATCATTTTTATGCTTAAGGTAATATTAAAAACCTCTTCAAAAGTTTTCGTATAAATTATTTATATGCATTTTTTATTATTTTGTTTTATATTAATATTTTAATGCCCGACTCGCTTTTACACGAAATATTTAAAACTACAACTATTTCATAAAAAAAAAAAACAATACAATTTTACGTATCCAAAGCATTATAGTTTATTTTAAGAATTACATTTAGCGCAGTTATCGGGAATTTTATTTCACGAAGTAAGTGTCCTTCCTTGAAAAAAAAATGAAGAAACTGATTTTCGGGGATTGGTGCTGAATATTTGAAAGAATGCGTTGTCATCGGAAACGAGTCTATGTGCCAAGTTTCAGTTCAATAGATTGATGGGGAGTGGGCGAATTAGCCCTCCAAATATTTTACCACATAGAACAGACAGAAATAAATAAATACACGAACAAAAAATATCTTTCGAAAATGACTTCCTTCATCCCGACAAGCGACAAATAAACCCCCGAATAGCTACAGCCCGCCAACCAATGGCGGCCAACCAATAGCGGGCAACCAATGGTGGCCAACCAATGGCGGCCAACCAATCGCAGCCAACCAATGGTGGCCAACCAATGGTGGCCAACCAATGGTGGCCAACCAATGGCGGCCAACCAATGGTGGCCGCAGTGACATTCGACCAACACACTTCATAACATTGTCAATAACTTCTACCCCCATCCCTGCTACTAATATCATAATGTCTCACCGCATATTAGACCGAATATTTATTACACTATTTCCGTCAAGCAATATAAAATAGTACGCACCAAAAGCAATTGCGTTATTTTTTAAGAATCTCATTCAATGCAGTTATCGGGAATTGGATTTCGTGAAATCAGGTCAAGCTTGTCAAGATAGTGGCATTGTTACATAGAGAATTAAAGTATTTTGATGCGGCGTGATCACGTTAGGAAAAATAACTTGATGTACACGAGAACAAATTGAAAAGTCCAATCTTCAGGCGAGTTTAGTTCATCAGCTTTTGATGTTATGTTGTATCCGGTCTTAATGAAATGGTGACATTGTAACACATATGTAAGAAGTTGTGTGATTGCATAATGTTGAACGCTCTTCTTTAGTTACCTGTCCTAAACATCTGCATACGTGCATCAAGCGTCTTAGTGGTGATGTAGTGCTTTCTAATAATTATTACGATAATCATTGGAAGTATGGGGAAATTATGGGGAAAGTATGTGGTTGTATCACTATATTTATTCACACACGACGTTTCACAAATATGAGAAATACATCTCCAGATTTGAGTAAACATAATTATTGTAATAATCTTATTAACTTCACTCATTTCTTAATACACTCAACTGGACGATAGATATTCCGATGCTATGAGATATTTATTTGCAAACGCAAACACATTCATAAATTCAATTTTATCCTCCTTGACCATGTTAAAAAAATCACACTTACTGTCTTCTTCAAAAACCACTTCCTCTCCTCCTTCTGCGCATGACATTTTAATATCAAACTTTACGTTCATACTAAATTACGAAACAAAATATTATTGTAATAATTTAGCTGTTACAACATAATATAAGAAAGAGATGTAAAAGCAAATTAACGTAAGTCAACGGTGGTCGGTTGTTAAATTTTGACTTAAGAGCATGTGGGCTTAATTATACTCTTAGTTGAATTTGTGTGGGCGCCTAGTGCATCATCCCTTTAGCACAGAACATTTTCAGGAACATACTACGTTAGTTGAACTTGTATTCGTAAATATTCAAACAACCATGAATCGAAACAAGCACAGGGGCGATAGTGTTGCTAGTGTCATGTTGAACACAATGGTGATAGTGTGGTCAATGTACATATTGAACACGGTGGCCATAGTGTGGTCAGTGTACATATTGAACACGGTGGCGATAATGTTGTTCGTGTACATGTTGAACAAGATGGTGTTAGTGTTGCCAGTGTCCATGTTGAACTAGATGGTGATAGTGATGCCAGTGTACATGCTGAACAAGATGGTGATAGTGTTGCCAGTGTACATGCTGAACAAGATGGTGATAGTGTTGCTCGTGTACATGTTGAACCCAACGTCCGAGCATCCAGTAAAAGATTTCAGGGTAGGAAAACCTGACAGAACCTATCAAGAAGATCGGCATTCAGGTCAGAATGTACACCAACGCGATAATCATGATCATAATCATGTTCCAAATCATAATCATCATCATCTTAACAAGGCGACCCCCCCCCCACACCCCCCCCCCCCCCCCCCCCCCCCCCCCGCAACGATACACTGTCGTTGAGTATTTTTCTCACGAGTGGCACCGAGGGGATCCCTGGCACATTTATCTACTGGATGCGAATCTGTGATAATTTTCTGAGGTCTTTCTACATAACGATTTCACAAACAACGGCTCTAGATTGGCACAGCATAGAGAACATGATGCAAAAAATCAATATCATTCGCTTCTATTACAGGGTTGTGATTTTGCGAATCTTTTAACACATAATATGTGCCATTATTGACAGGCTCAACATTCTCGACAATGAAGACAGTGAAACTGTATTTATCACTCAATCTTAAATTCGCGAGTGCTTCGAGATTTCAAAAACATTATTTTAAATGTGAAACATCTTTAAAAGAAAACAATTTCCCAATAATCAGTTTAGTTTTAAAAAAAAATATTTAAGTTTAGAATAAATAATTAAATGAGCGTTTAAATAATATAAATAAATAATATAATAATAAAATTCTATGATGTGATGTACAAGGAGAGTTGGCGTACAAATAGAATCTTATGTCATGGTCATGGGCACCCGCAGGTAGGGGCAAGGTGGGGCACTCCCCCCCCCCCTGGATTGATTGGATAAAAAAAATTAGACAAAAATAGACAAAAAATGTATTAAAGTAAAGAGAAAATAAAGAGAAAGTAACTAAGCTGATGTCCGGTCCGTTCGTTCACCATACAAATACGCTACAGTTAATTAAAACTACATTAAAACATTACTAAAAAATTGTTTGCCCTCCTCCCTAGAAAGTTTTCTGCGGGCGCCCATGGTCATGGTGTAATAGTAAACAACAGCTGATTCAACTGTAATGCCCACACTGGGAGGTAATATTACTATACAATTTTTCTGAATAAACAAATAGTTACTTGACTTCCAATTAAATAAAAATAAAAATTTTAATGTGTTGAAGATTTTAAATGACTGGTATGAAATGCAATCATGGGAAATGTCAGTCTCTCTCTTACAGTTAATGCTTTCTTATCGAACTACTTTCAAAAAATCAAAAGAGATTAAATGTGATTTTCAATCATTTGTAATTTGCAGTCTCCAAAAAAAAAATAAATAAAAAAAATGCAGGACTAAATGCTTTTTATGAATGCCAATTAAAATATATGAAAAAATAAATTCTTAAACACCAATAGCCTCTCCTTTAAACGTTTATTGCGCCAATATAACACCAAGATATCTGCCCACAATGTTTAGTGCGCCAATATAACACTAATATAACACCAATATATTATCTTCCCACAATGTTTAGTGCGCCAATATAACACTAATATAACACCAATATATTATCTTCCCACAATGTTTAGTGCGCCATTATAACACTAATATAACACCAATATATTATCTTCCCACAATGTTTAGTGCGCCAATATAACACTAATATAACACCAATATTTTATCTTCCCACAATGTTTAGTGCGCCAATATAACACTAATATAACACCAAAATAACACTAATATATTATCTTCCCACAATGTTTAGTAAGCCATTGCTCGACCTTATGATCACATTATCTTAATCTCTGAAAGAACCCCCCCCCCTTCCTCAATAATGTTGGTGTCCCAGAGAAGGAACCCCCAA